TTTAAGTGTTAATTAATTGCATTTGTTTAATGCACCTGGCTGTGTCTCAGGCATTGTTAAGAAGGGATAAGATCTTTTTCAGGGATGATTCTTTCCTTTCCTTACAGGGCTTTGTCTGTGATGGGAACTTTCTATATATATTTTTTTCTTTTTAAGAGACGGGGTCTCACTATGTTGCGCAGGCTGATCTCGAACTCCTGGGCTCAAGGGGTCCTTTGGACTGACCTCCTGAAATACTGGGATTACAGGCGTGAGCCATCGCACTTGGCTCTACCTTTCTGCAAAAACTGGTGGATTCTACTTCTCTCTCCATCTATGTTTAGTCCTGGGAGATATAATCAAGAGAAAAGCAACATCTACTTTCATTAGATTAAGAGTCAAACAAAAGGGCCTAGAGGCAAAAAGGCTCCAGGACCCTCTTTTGCGGATGAACCTGTGCATTGAAATCTTCAGCTTCATGGAGACACAAAAGGCAAAATGGGAAGTTGGATTTGCAGGAGTTAGTCTTGGAGTGTCTTGTCAAATTGAAGGGTTCACATATGACCTGTCAGGTCTCCGAGAGAGATGACTTGGTGAAATCTGTATTTTGTGATGATTAGTCTGTATCGGAGGCTGGTTCAAGGGCAAACGAAGGTCAGAATAAGGACTTGTGGATGTGTTAAGAGCAGAACCCACTGTCTTGTGCATCAACAACAGAAGCCCACTCCTGGCCTTCATATTTTGGGGTAATTGTTTTTTGCAGTGCAGACTTGTGAAACCTGGAGTATTTTCAGGTCACAGCTTTTATGAAGATGCTTTCTGTTGACCTGAGAATTAACTATTGTTTGTCAGACAGCTTGATGACCTTGTCAATGGTGTTCTTTGATTTTTACAACTCCCCATCTAAGAACTTGAGAATGCCGCAGTGGATAAAACTGTGTGACTGACGTTCATTATTTTTTTCCACGATGCTTTAAAGTAAGTGCGCTGGGAATGCTCCATTTATTATGTGGAGGAGAAACATGTCCAAACTTTAACTTTGTTCCTGTTGCTTTTGTACACTGAGGCGTTGATTCTGCAGGATTAAAACAAGGTGCTGATTATTCCGTTTGGTGGAAAGTTTCAGGACTGAAAGCCAGCAGAATTGTTCCATTGAAATGGTAATTCTGACTCTTTGATTCTTACACATTGACTACTTTTACAAAATACAAACCTGTTTTAATCTTTTTAAAGGACATTTTTGCACTCCTGTTTTCATTTTTAAAAATAACCTTTTAAAAATGTTAGGATAGTTTCAGGTTTGCTGAAAGGTTGCAAAGATAGTACAGAGAGTTACTGTTTAACTCCACTCCCACAGAGCATCTTACGTGACCATCTGTTACAATTAAGGAACTAACATTAGTATGTTACTAAGAATCGACATCACACTTTATTTGGATTTCACTGGTGTTCACCTAATGTCCTTTTCCTGTTCCGAGATACCATCTGAAATACCATGATGCATGGATTTGCCCTATTTTCTTAGCCTCATCTAGTCTGTGACAGTTTCTTAGTCTTTCCTTGTATTTCACGACCTTAATAGTTTTGAGGTATTAATGTTATGGAGAATGTCCACCAACTAGGGCCTGTCTGATGTTTTAGACAGGGGTATGTGTTTGGGGGAGGAAATCCACAGAGATGAAGGTTTCCTTCATCTCACCTTAGCAACGGTGACTACTGTCCACAAGACTTTTGCTCTTGATGTTGGCTTTGATCACGTGGCTGACAGTTTGTCAGTTTTCTCTGCTGTAAAGTTGTACTCTCCCCTCCACCCCAAGTCTAGTCTTTGAAAGCAAGTCCCTAAAGTGGGGTGGGGGTGGGAGAAGAGGCAGAATGAAGCTCCACTTCCCGGATGGTGGAATATTGATACATTATTTGGAATTCTTCCCTAAGAAAGATGGCTCTGTCCCCTCTATTTATTTAATCAATCGTTTATATCACTATGGGCACATGGATATTTTGGATATGCTTTGGGCTTTAATTCAATTCTACATTACTGTGACTTATTCTACTTTATATTTTTTGTGGCCATGATGTAGACATCAGAAAGTCTATTCACTTGAATAGCAAGTAAATGCAAGGACTCAATAGTAAATGACTCTTAGAGAAACTCTCAACCTTGCTGGTTCACGGATGCTCAGCTTGCAAAAACACCTTCTTCCATCAGGAAACCTCAGTGGATGGGCAAACATTACAGTGTCCTTGAACATGCTTCATTGGTGAACATGCTTCACCTTCCTATGCAGTAAGCAAAAGCACCCATACCACAGCTTAAGAGTGGGGGAGAGGTCATTCCTCCCACCACTCATCCTAGTGTCTTTCGATAAAGAGATATAAGCTGAAGGAACATGTTACTAACCAGAAGACTTCCAGAGGACCCCATTAATCAGGGTAGATGCTGCAGTCTCCGTATGAATAGCTGTGTGTGTCTTGTCACAACTATCAATATTTCAAAAGGTGATATCATCCTCTTAGCCTTATGATGTGTTTTAACATAAAATTTTAATATGCATGCAGGTGGTTATTACTTAAGCATTGCTTAAGAAGCAGTCTTTTTTTTTTTTTTTTTAATTCATGTAACCGGATCTATTCTCTGAATAAGGAATATAAGCAAATTGTAGCCATTTCAAGGACTCTTTTTTCTTCTTTCTTTTTTTTTTTAAATGGAGTCTTGCTCTGTCGCCCAGGCTGGAGTGCAATGGCGCGATCTCGGCTCACTGCAACCTCCGCCTCTGGTTCAAGCGATTCTCCTGTCTCAGCCTCCTGAGTAGCTGGGATTACAGTTGCTCACCAGCACGCCAGGCAAATTTTTGTATTTTTAGTAGAGATGGTGTTTCACCATGTTAGCCGGGCTGGTCTCGAACTCCTGACCTCAGATGAGCCGCCCACCTCAGCCTCCTGACGTGCTGGGATTACAGGCATGAGCCACCGTGCCCAGCCTCAAGGAGACTTTTAAAGGCAGGATTTTTTTTTTTCTTATGGTGAAGGAATGAAGAATAGTATAGGAAAGAAATACAGAAACCTTGAAAAAGGAAATGTAAAACTGGATCATCATTCCATAGACTAGTTGTTAATAGTAAGTAACTCTACAATTTGTTCCACTGATTTTCTGAATATTTTAAACACAGATGATCATTCTCTATCTACATCTACGTGTTTATCTGCGTTTATATCATATGTATGTATATACATATATATTTGCATGTAGATCACATCTTTATCTGGATGGTATCTGTACCAATATTAGAGTCTATAGCTATAGCATATCAATAACCGTTCTATATCATATTGTACCTTTTCTCACCTATATCTTAATCATATCTGTTTTTGTATCTGTACACATATCTTTACTGATATTCACATTATATTTCTATGCCTAGATCTGTATATATCTCTATGCCATTTTGAACTTTACATTTCATACACTATTATAGCATAAGCCATTTTAGGATTATTAAAAATCTTCATAAGCATTGTTTTTCATGGTTAATTTTCTCAAAAGACTGTGCTTTAACATACCAAGTTCTTTACATATTTTTTGACATTTAGATTATTTTAATGTTTTTGCTTCTCTAATGTATTTTTCTTTATTTTTTTGCTCCACACCCCTCCCTCCTCTAACTTATTTTGAAACTCTTCCTTGTAAATTGGGCATTCTTCATTATAGGGGCATTACTTATTTTCTTTTGTATGTTTCAAAAAACATTCTGCATTGGTCTGTACACATTTTTCCCTCTTGTATCCCCTTCTGTAAACATTTGTATTCACTTGAAACCTTATGGAATATTTTACTATAGAAAATTTCTGGTCTATGACAAAAAAAAGGAAGAGAAAATAGAATAATGGATCCCATGTGCCCATCAGCTGGCTTCAGCAATTATGAATGCATAGCCTAATCTTTAGTATCCAACTTCATTCATATTTCCATTCTTATTATGGCATGATGTAATTCATTTAAAGATATGTCTGTACATTGCTCTAAAATATAGGAAACATTTTATTTTACACAGCTGCAGAATCTTTTCCATGCCTAAAATTATGAACAGTAATTCCTCCGTATCATCCACTATAAAGTTGTAAATGTCAAAATGATCTTCTCATAGTTTGGCAACTCACACAAGGTCTAGCACTACAATAGGTTGATTTGTCTTTTACATTTCTTTTAATTGATATAGCTTCCCTATCTTTTTATGCACATTCTTGTTGAAAAAAACTGCTCGTTTTAACTCTACATGAAAGTGGGTTTTAGAATCGGAAAATGTAGTTGTCAAATTATTTTAGAAGGAACGTGTGTATTTTCCATAACGCACAGTCTTAGGTTACCAACTCCTTAGGAGCAAATGCTTTGTGACTTGGTAGTGTTCTACCCAGAAGGAATGCTGCTGGGTAAATTTGGCCAACTATGTGACAGCTCTTTGGACTCAGTATGTCTCATTTTTATCTATTTTTAATGAGGTTTTATTTTGAAGGCAGGGTCTCGCTTTGTTGCCCATGCTGGAGTGCAGTGATGCAATCATAGCTTGATGCAGTCTTGAACTTCTGGGCTCAAGCAATCTTCTCACCTCAGCCTCATATTATCTGGTACCTGGCAGAGATACAGATCTGATGAGAAGCAAAGATAAAGGGAGGTCAGAAGGTAGCTTTTGTTGCACCATTACACATACACACACACACATGCGCACACGGGTGCACACGCACACACAAAGAATCAAATGCAATTTTTTCCTCTTTGCCAACCCACAGTTAACTAAAATTATTAGTTCTATTGAACTCAACATTGCATATGATATTTTGAATGATAGAGGCTAAAGAGAGGCCAAAGAGGGAGGATTGCCTGAGGCCAGCAGTTCAAGACCAGCTTGGACAACATAGTGAGACCCCATTTCTACAGAAAAAAAGTAGCCAGATGTGGTGGCTCACTCTTGTAATCCCAGCTACTGGAGAGGCTGAGACAGGAGGATGGCTTGAGCCGAGGAGTTGGAGGCTGCAGTGAACTCTGATAGTGCTGCTGCACTCCAGCCTGGGTGACAGAGCGATCCTGTCTCTAAAAAACAGGAAAAATATGACTAAAGAAAACCAAACTCATCTAATCTATACAGTGAAAAATAGTGGGCTATCATTCTTATGCTAATGTAAGTATGCGTCATTTTAAGAAGAGTTGTGTGTGTATGTGTGTGTATCTGTGGGTGTGTGTGTGTGCATGATATAAATCCAGACTTCTAAACGAGTGTCTGGGATGGTGGTATTATTAGTAGAAGATCATTGGAACCTGTTACACAAGGATGCACTAGAAAATTTTACAAACTATTAAATTCTGTGTAATTTAAAATGTGACTTGATTTACTCAGATATTTTACAAGGATACATGTCTCTTACAAAACAAGATTTACTAACTTTGGTGCTCTTAACATTGAGAGTGGATAATTCTTTGTTGTGGTGGCTGTCCTGTGCCTTGTATGATGCTGAATGGAATTGCTGGACTCAAGCTTCTAGGTGCCCGTCGTATACACATCCCTGTTTTAAAAAAAGCGTGTATAAATTTAAGGGGCACAAGTGCTGTTTATTACATGGATATATTGCATAGTGATGAAATCTGGGTTTTTAGTGTAACCACCACCCGAATAACATGCATTGTATCCGTTGAGTAATTTCTCATTCCTCATCATCCTACCACCCTCCCATCTTTTTGATTCTCCATTGTCTATTATTCCACTCTCTATGTCCATGTGTACACATTATTTAGCTCCCACTTAGGAGTGAGGACATATTGTTTTTGACTTTCTGTTTTCGAGTTGTTTCACTTAAGATAATGGCCTCCAGTTCCATTCATGCTCCTGCAAAAGACAGTTTCGTTCATTTTATGGCTGAATAATATTTCATTATGCATATATACCACATTTTCTTTATTCATTTATCCATCGATGGATGCCTAGCTGGATTCCATATCTTTGCTATTGTGAATACTGCTGTGTTAAACATATGCATGCCAGGTATCCTTTTGACAGTGATTTCTTTTGATTTGGGTAGATACCCGGCAGTGGAATTGCTAGATAAGATAGTAGTTCTATTTTTAGTTCTTTGAGGACTCTCCGTATTGTTTTCCATAGAACTTATACTAATTTACTTTCCCATCAACAGTGTGTATGAGTTCCTTTATCTCTGCATCCTCATCAACCTCTATTATTTTTTGAATTTGACATCCACAAATGTCTCCAGACATTCTCAGATATTCCCTTGGGAGTAAAATCCATCCCAGTTAAAAACTTCTGTTATGAAATGAGGTGTACTTATTCCAAGTTTTACATGGGGAATTTCACTGGTTTTTGGATTCTAGTAGCCCTGACGTGTACGCTGGGCATAACCAGATAAGGAAAACTGGGCAAAGTGTGCACTAAGAGATAGTAAGCACATTATTCTGGAAGATGTTTTTCATAACCAGAATAGACTTTATGAATTCTATCAGTTGTAATGAGAATCGGATTGACATTTGGGGACAGTCAGTATAACGCACGCTATCCAAAAGGAGGTGGCATTGATTTATATAAGTGAGAGCTTACGAGAAAACAAAGACAGGAAATAAAGAAAAAGAAAATCCCTGATAAGTATCTGATAGAACAAAGTGCAGAACGAAATGCAGCTAGCTTATCTAAAATTGGGCAAAATCATGTTCCAAATGAAAGCTCAGTAGATGGGAAGAGAGTATTTGAACATTTGATGTGAAGAATGAGATTTACTGTTCCACAGATACGAACACATTGATGAGAGCTGTCAGTTATTAGAACTTATTAACATCAGTGGGAACACCAGAAATGTGCTGCACAGAAAATTAAATTTAAGACTCATTGAAAATGGTGTTATATTTTCTGAACTGTTACATTGATTGATTAAAATTAGATTCTCCAACAAAATAGGAACTTTTAATATTCTAGGAGTGAATATGAGATGAATTTAGGTGGAAAATGTGTTTTAAAAAGATGTATTATTAACCTCAGAGATTCAGAATTAATGTCACCAACCCCAAAGAATGCAGTATAACATTTGTTATAAATGACCTCATAATAGGTTATTTTGTATTATCGTTTTAAATTTTGATAATAAATGGGCACATTTTACACCTTTTATAATAAAAGGGTATATGCAAAACCAGTTATTTTTATTCCAATGTTAATAAAATAGCAATAAACCTCATTTCGTTTGAAGTGCCAACTTCCACTCCATATGAAATTTCTAAAAGTCTGGGAGATATGCACCATCTAGTTAAGAAGATTTTCATTCTATAAAATTGTATAATGCAGTGAATCCTGTTCTTTTCCCATATACATTTATTTAATATTTATATTCGATACAAGGAATCTGTATTATTTTCATTAAGCTACTCATAAACATAAGTCTTTTACTTCTTCTTGGGTACATTTTTAAAAATTTGGTTACATTTTTGAGATGTCGATGCCGTGGTTAAAATATTCCAACTGAGTAACGGGTTGGGTTTACAAGAAGTTTTTGCTCTACAAGGAAATAGGTCAATAAATTAGACTCCAGTCAATTATAGGATAAAAGAAAAAGTTAATTTATTATGTATTATTGCACACAGTGTTTGATGTATGTATGCAAATTGCTCCCAAATACAGTTTGGTTGCAGTTGTGCTCCACATTTATGGTGGATGTAATTTTGAATATGTGCAGTGCAGAGAGAGCATATTCTGACCTCATTCATCAAATGTGATGCAAATGTGTAGAAACAGCAAGGTCATTTTCGTATGATGAGAAAATGTCTGTTTGAAAGTAAACGCATCCACCCATCCATCCAAAGGTTGCATTTTCTCAATTCCCAGTTCTAAATATGTGTGTGTGTGTGTGTGTGTGTGTGTGTGTGAGAGAGAGAGAGAGAGAGAGAATCTAGTGCAATTTTGTTGTTCTACTTTGTTCCAGGTTTGACATTTTAGTGATTGAACCTAAAATACCTTGATTCTTACCCTCTAATTTTACAAATAAAATCTGGTTTGCTGTTATGGATTGAGCTGTGTTATGGATCGAATTGCATTCCCCGAGAAGATATATTGAAATCCTAACGCCCAGTACCTCAGATTGTGATCTTATTTTGAAATAAGGTCTTTGCAGATGTAATTACAATGAGGTGATTCAAGTGGCCCTCATTCTATATAACTGGTGTTGAAACCACCATGAGAACACACAGACACTCACAAGGTGAAGATGGCCATCTCATGGCGGAAGCAGAGGTTGGCATGATGCAACTACAAAAAAGGGAATCCCAAGGATTGCTGGCAACCCCCTGAATTTAGAAGAGACAGGAAAGCATCCTCACCAAGAACCCTCAGAGGGAGCATGGCCAACATCATGATTTTGAACTTCTAGACTTCAGAACTTTGAGAGGGCATATTCCTGTTTCCTGAGATGTAAGGCTTGTGATCCTTTTTGACAGTAACTCTAGGAAACTCATACACCAAGGCACAGAGTTCTTTATTTAAATCCATTTTTTTCATTTGAAAATATTTATTTGACAAAAACTGCATATATGGCAAAACTGTATATATGGCAAGTGTCCAGTAACGACTGGATGTACGTATACATTGTGTAACAATGATCACATTAATGAACATATAATAAGCAAATTAATGAACATATCACTCATAGCCCATGTGGTACATAATGGATGGGCCCGAAGTTATACAGCCAGCTTGGGGCAGAGCTGGGTTTGAAGGACAGACTCCTCACCCAGCCACACTTGTCTTCCGGAATCATGTTCCCATAGTCATGAGGATTTTAGAGACTCCACTGCTCCATGCCACTGCATCAACACATTGTGGAGTGGGGGACCCATATTTCATTGCAGGTGTCTGAAGATCAACAGTGGGGTTTCCCTTCCCTCAACTGTACAATGTGTGATTGGACCTATCTCCAGGGCCTTTCTAAGCTATGTGATTTGAGAACAATCATCATTATAATTAAGACTGTCTCATTTTAAACCATGATTAGGGATGTGAGATGCTCTGTGTGTTTTCTAAATAAACTTCATCGCGACCTGGTTAAGTGTTGGATGTGAATTGGCAAGAGGGGGATTACTAGTAGAAATGGTGTAATTTCAGACCCATTCACAAGTATTTACACACTGCAAGACATCTAGATCCTCAGAAGTCAGGTGGTATCCTAAAAGCACGGTGTGTCATTTATGGTAGACAATTGAAATTGCACTGAAATTAAACTTGGTGGTGGGGAGTACACTTCATAGTGTTCAGTTTTTGCTTTCACTTTATTCTATGTCTGACTCTCAGGAAATAGGAACTGCAACATTGGGTTTCTCCCGTGTATTTTCAACTTCAAACTCATGCATTATAAACCATTAAGCAAATGATCAAACACTACATCTTTCCCAGCTCTTGTATGGACATACAGTTTTGTTATTCATGACTTCTCTTTTCTTATCTGGGAAGAGATCTTTCTTAACCTTTAGAAATTGGATTAATGCAACCCTCTTTAACCTCACATTTGATGTGAATGTCAGAACTTTTTGAAACTTAGCTGTGCTGTTAGTACACTGATCACTGAGTGCCTGTTGCCTGGCAGGCACTGGGCTGCCCAGTGAGGGTAGGTGAGGAACAGACACCAGCTCCCTCCTGGAGTGTATGCTCTGCTGGAGGATAAAGACACTTCTCAAGCAATAGCCTAAATGCATCTGACACCATGATTGTAATCATGGGGCTAGGATAATATGAGAATTTGTAGGAATGGGGATGCTGTCAGGGTTCATGAAAAGTCTTCCCAATGATGAGAGAACTGCAAGTTGGGAGGAGGTAGAAATAACGAAAGAAATGGTTGTAGAGATGAATACATTGTGGGATGATCGTGTTGCAGGGTGACATCTTTGAGTGGTAAAAGGGATAGAGTTTGGGCTCCTGCTGCAAACCCTCAGTGATGCGTTGTAATGGTAAGAATTGGCTCATTGTTTCCCAGTTTGCCTGATTGCTGCATCCACAAATCCATGGGTTCTGGGGTTAATTCCCATCCATTTTATTGCTGAATTTCTCAGAATGAGTCTTCGGTACATTGTTACTGAAAGGAGTTGCTAAACCCAATGTCTTCATTGCTTTTGAAGCAGATAGTCCAGTGTAGTGTTTCTCAAACATAAGCATCATTGTCTCCTAGAGGGCTCGTTAAAGGCAAATTGCTGGGACCCATCCCAGGAGTTTCTGAGTCAGCAGATCTGAGATGGGACCCATAACTCCCCAGTTGAAGTTGCCTTTACTGGTTTTGGGATTACCCTTTTAGAACTACTGCCTTAGGGTATTTCTAGGTTATGTGTGCACACATGACCTGCTTGAGTTTTGAGCTCAACGTTCTGTTTTATTCTTTCCTGTTCAGAGGCCGGCATCCACAGCTCTGGGTCTCATCATTTGCTTTTTGTCATGCAGTTGTGCTCTACTGATTTATACGTTATCTTTATGTTTTCAGTTTCCCAGTCAATTCAAGCCAATGCATATTTATTGGGCATCTACCATGTGCTATGGACTGTGAGGGACTTAAAGATTAATAACAACAACCATAAAAACTCATTGATATGCTGGGCATTATTTATTTCCCTATGGCCTCCAAATGCTTGGCTCATAATTCAAAACACTACAGCAACGTGAAGGCAGCAGATTGTTTGTCACTTCAGGGATCCACAGGTATATGGCTTCTCAAACGAAGATCTGGTAATTCCAGACTGCATGCAGCTATTCTTCCTTTAAAAACTGAGAAACCATGCATACAACATCTTTTCTTCCTTCTTCGTTTATACATTCGATAACTATGTACTGCCATCTTACTTTGAGAAGGTCATCACGCCAGATACCATCAGTGATAGAAACACGGATAAGATTCAACCTCTGATCCCAGGGAGAGCAGACTCTCAGTAAGGAAGACAAAATGATAAATGAAAATACCTATATTACAAAGCATGCACATCACACATTCCATAAGTGAGTAAAAACACAGACCTTGGCAGCACAGAATCTTGTTTTCCATTTGTGTCATTTTGGACACTGCATTGGTTATCTATTGCTGCATAAAAAGTTCCTCTAAACCTTAGGTTAAAACTGCAAGCATTTATCATCTCATGCATTTCTATACATCAGGGATTCAGGAGCAGTGTAGCTGGCCAGTTCTAGTTTAGGGTCTCTCATGATGTTGCGGTCAAGTTGTAGACAGGGCTTGCAGTTTTATGAGGGTGTTGGAGAATCTCACTTACGTGTTACTTGGCAGGAGGCTTCAGTTCTTGGCCATGTGGGCTTCTCCCTAGGGCTAGACATGTGACATTAACAGCTGGCTTTTCTGAAAGTGAGGAGAGAAAGAGGGAGGCTGAAAGGGAGTCTAAGATGAAAGCCACACACTCTTAGAACTTGATCTTGGAAGTGACACCTTGTCACTTTGGCACTTGATTTGGAGGTGACACCTTGTCACTTTTGCTACATGCTATTGGTTGTTCAAATCAAATCTGGCACCATGTGGATAAGGATTGCAGGAAGGTGTTAATAGCAGGTGTCAATTGGCCATCTTGGAAGCTAGACTATCACCAGAAGCTCTTCCAAAGGAGGTGGCTCACGAGCTGCATAGAATTTTGTCGTAAGGACAAAGGAGAAAGTGTGAACAAATACATAGGTACAGCAGGTGTTGAGGAATAGGGTGTGTTGTGTTGAGTGTTGTCTCAAGGGCATGTTGAGTTTGAGTTTGGGTGATGAAATTGAAATCAGATCATTTCAGGTGGTGCAACTCGATGGTAAGCCTTATAGATATTATTCTGTAGGCAATGGGGCAATCATATTAGGACTTTTGCAGAATTATTTAAGGAATATCAGTTTCATGATAGTAGAGGTAGTGATAGAAGACAGAACGTCAGTAATGCAAGTTGAGATCTACTTATAGATTCAACTGTGGTAGAGATTGAGGAAATGGGGAAGGCATGAGGCTCTGCAGAGGCATTGGAAGGATGATACTGATAGAACCTTGCAAACTATTGGAGAGAGGCCAAGACAATGAATAACCATACAAGGTTGCAGTTATGGGTGGAGTTGTCCAGTTAAGAAAAGGGAGAGAGTTCAGAGGTAGGTGAAGGTCAGTATTATTAGTATTATTAGATGCAGTATTATCAGATGCTTGTCAAAAAAAAAAAGAAGTAAATTAAGCGTATAAAACACTTTAAAACAGGTATATAGAAAGTGTTGAAGGCAGCCCTGACATTACTTATCTTTGGCCCATCCTTGTCTTTCTCCTTCATAGTCTAAAATGTTTTACAAAGGACTGTTTCTCATGACACTGAGAATGAACCCCAAATTCCTTTCACTGACCTATTCCACTTTTATACAGTAAGCCTCTTACTCACTTCTCCAGCTTCATCCCAGGCCATCCTCTTCTCACTGCACTGCTGTCCCAGTCCTCTTTCGGTTTTGTGATCTAACTGAGCGGGTACAGTGTTAGGACATTTTTGTGTGCCACTTCCTTTGGCCAGAACACCCTGTCCTGTTCCCATTTAAAGTGGTTTCCACCCTCGGTTGTGTTCTTATTCAACCCATTATTTACTTTCTTCTCTGAGCTCACCTGATCTTGAAGGCTTTTTTATTCTTTGTCTTATTATGGATATGTGTGGAGGATCCAGGGAGTTAGTGAATTTTTCTCCGCATTCTGTAAACATGTGTATTGCATGAATCTGGAATAGATCAGCACTCACTGGGTATTTATTAAAGAAATGAGTAGTTGTAAGACTGTAGATTTTCACTGGATGAATGAGAAAATCAAATGTTGTCTGGTAAAAACAGGTGTTAAGTCAGCTATCACAGTTTTCTGGGACATGCAGTCAAGCCAGAGAGACTCTGAGGGAAGGCCGTCTTTCATTGTATAATCAACCCACTGTAGAGGAAGGTTCCTCTCTCACCTAAGGGAACATGGATCTTCCTTGATTGTTCACTTTGGTATTTCTAAATTAGCACGATTTACCAAAAATGTTTGGGTCACTCAGTACATGCATGTGATTTATTTCTAAATGGCTATCTTAAAAAAAATCTTCCTCATCTGTATTAATGTCCCTAGAGTTTTTACATTTTTTAGCCTGTATTTCATTAAAGATGATGTCATAGAAAATTTTTGTCAAATTTCTCATTCTGGTCTGTGCCTGGAAGATTGAGAGTGATGCAGTCTAAGAAAGTTCAGGATTTTGAAGTTTAATCATTTACATTCTAACACTAAAGCTATAAATCTGCTGTGCAGTGTTGCTTACTTCTACTGCTCACTGGATGGATAAGTCTATGTGCTTTTTAAATTTCTTATAAAGATTTGGGTCAAAACTAGCAGTGTGGTCAATAAACTAATTTCTTGAGAGTTTATCAGAATTGTGGGATGATTTGGGAGGAGCAGAATTGTGCAAAATCAATCCTCTATTTTTAAACTTATTCTTCTAAAATTCTAAACAGAAATTTTTTATTCATTAATATTTTCTTGATTTCATAATGCTAAAAATTAAGTAAAATGAATGTTGTGTTAAGAAATGGGAGCAAATCCAAGACAAAAAATCAGATGATTTATTAAATTTGCGACTTAAAAAAAAACACAGTTTGAAAGATTGCTCTGTTTGAGGAAAGGACATAAAATTTTGTTGAGATAACTTAGGGTATAAATCAAGGTCATTTATGTTCATTTGAACATTCATACTCACATCTGGAAATATCCAGAATGACCACACTAAATCCTGCAGGTAAATTCTTTTCTCAGCTAAGCATGCCATATTGTTGTAGTTAATCAAGAAATCTACCAAAATTAAATTTGTCCTCCTACTTTTTAGCTTAGAAATTTAGGGGATCACTGGGACTCAAAAGAAAATTCAATAAATAATGGTCCATCCTAGGGTTACTTCTTTTTAACTTAAAAATCCCTCTGAGATATCCTCAGGTTTTAAAAATAGCTTTTTATTTTCCTGTTTTTGTGTGTGTTTGTGTAGGCCTACATGTTCATATTAGTCATCAGTGTTGTCAGAACCTTGGCTAGCGTCATAGTCCAGACCTCTTGAGGTCACTTGGGGGTCGGCTACAGTTTTCACCTCTTGCTTTTCATGGGCCCCACTCTGAGAAAGATGCTTCTTCTCTCTCTCCTCTTTCAAGGTCATCTTTGAGGACATCTTCTGAAGCTTTTTCTGAGATGCTGCCTCTTCTGAGCACAACACTGTCTATTCTTGTATCACCAGTATAGGAGCTCATGCAATTTATAAGTACTTGCCTTAATGATGCGCTCCCTGAAAGACCTTGAGGAGAGGGATCAGGTGGCATTCATCTTTAGGATCCCTTCCCTGTCCTCACAGCACATTCATGGTCCACGTTCAGCAAACTTTTGTACAATGACATGACTTAGGGTTTCTAGACAATCTGTATTGTAATTTATGTTGATACAAAGGGATAATGTTAGCATCAAATGAAAAGTCAGAGTTCTATCAATGCCATCTTGATGAAAATATTTATATCGTTATATCTTATGTCCTAGGTTTCTTCTTGACTGACTACTCAGGGCGAGTTGGAATCGCTATATGTCTCTCTCTGAACCCCCATATCTTTAGTTGTAATGATGAACTTACATGGAGAGGCTTATTTGAAACATCATTATAGTGTGGATGATAACCTTCTTAGTTTCCACATCTGATATTCCTCCAAAGGTGTGTATGTTTTGACTAATGTATTCTCTTTATGCTAAGCTTTCTTTAAAGTGATATGAATGCTCCATAATGTTGTTATTTTTTGTTTGTTTGTTTTTTTGAGACGGGGCTTCATTCTGTTACCCAGGGTGGAGTGCAGTGGCGTAACCAGAGCTCACTGCAGCCTCTGCTCCTGGACTCAAGCAATCCTCCCACCTTAGCCTCCGGAGTAGCTGGGACTACAGGCATGCACCACCACACCTGGCTAATTTTTGTATTTTTTGTAGAGACAGAGTTTTGTCATGTTGCCCAGGCTGGTCTTAAACTCCTGAGCTGAAGGAATCCTCCCTCTTCAGCCTCCCAAAGTGCTAAGATTACAGGCATGAGCCACCACGCCTGGTCCCATAACTGTTAGTTTAATTAGCACCTTTCTGCTTTAATTCATGTTGACTATCGAGAAAATCTATCCCCCCGTATAATTAGTGTTTTTAAAACATGCTTTTAGATAGTGATCAAAAACTTATTTATTAAGTAGAATGTAAATTATTACAAATGATATGAATACCATAGGTTGTAGTTTTTATATGACAACTTAGATTATAAAATGCAATTCTAGCCAGGCACATTGGCTCATGCCTGTAATCCCAGCACTTTGGGAGGCCCAGCAGGAGCCAATCGCTTGCTTCCAGGAGTTCAAGAGCAACTGGGGCAACATAGTGAGACTCCGTCTCTATAAAAAATACAAAAAAAAAAAAAAAAAAAAGTTGAGCATGGTGGTGCATGCCTGTAGTCCCAGCTATTCAGGAGGCTGAGGTGGGAGGATTGCTTGAGCTGAGGAGGTTGAGGCTGCAGTGATCCAAGGTTGCACCATTGCACTCCAGTCTAGGCAACAGATAAATTTGAGTACAAATGGCTGGTCATCTTCATATTAATATGAAATTGCATTTTTTGATACAGGATCTCGTTCTGCCTTGTGGCCTTCTGTAATAGGTTATCTTGTCCAAATTCTGGAGTAAAGCCCAGAAGAATTTTAATCTAGATAATTTATTCTTTAACCTTTGAAATACTGTATCAGCTACATGACAATGGCTTATAACTGAGCTCTAAATAAATGAAATAACTTTTGCGAGAGTGAATCACGTCACTGAGAACCAAGGGGAAACATGAAGAAGTGATGATGATGATGATTTTTTTTTTAGGACGGAGTTTCGCTGTTGTTGCCCAGGCTGGAGGGCAATGGCCTGATCTCGGCTAACCACAGCCTCCACCTCCTGGGTTCAAACGATTCTCCTGCCTCAGCCTCCCAAATAGCTGGGATTACAGGCGTGCACCACCACACCCGGCTAATTTTGTATTTTTAGTAGAGACGGGGTTTCTCCCTGTTGGTCACGCTGGTCTCGAACTCCTGACCTCAGGTGATCTGACTCCCCTCGGCCTCCCAAAGTGCTGGGATTACAGGCGTGAGCCACCGAGCCAGACCTGAAGTGATTATTTGAACAGAGAGTGTTAACGGTCTGCATTCTGCCTTGCACCCAAATGGCATCACCTATGGGAGTGATAAAAAGCCCCTGCCTTTCCCTCCCTCCTCAATCCTTGGGATTTCCACCAACAACAAAAGAGAAGCCAGGAAGAATGCTGTGTTGTGAGTACCCCCAGGAAGGGTTTTCCTTTATGAAGAGGCAAACCTAGTTAGGAAATACATAACCATGGACTGCAGGAAAGATAGTTGAGTCTGCATGGAGGATAGTGACCAGGGACTCATAAGAGGAGCGGTAGTGACTGAGGCCTGCAGGATGCATGGACACATTCTTGACACCGAGGGCAGCAACTGTGAACACACTCCTCCTACTCTTCCTAGGCAGAACTAGGATGGATGAACAGAGTTCTTTTCAGGGAGACTCACCAGGTAGATGACTACACATGAAACATTCTTTTTTTTTTTTTTTTTGAGACAGAGTCTCACTCTGTTGCCCAGGCTGGAGTACAGTGGCACCATCTCTGCTCGCTGCAAGCTCCGCCTCCCGGGTTCATGCCATTCTCCTGCCTCAGCCTCCAGAGCAGCTGGGACTACAGGCGTCCGCCACCACGCCTGGCTAATTTTTTGTATTTTTAGTAGAGACAGGGTTTCACCATTTTAGCCAGGATGGTCTCGATCTCCTGACCTTGTGATCCACCTGCCTCAGCCTCCCAAAATGCTGAGATTACAGGCATGAGCCACCGCACCTGGCGAAACACTTTCAATGGGAATATTTTGTTCCATCAGATTTTAGCAATATCACATTTGAAAATAGGGGACGCACACACAGATACAATTAGTTTCACCGCCTCACTTGTGTATCTAAACAAACCTGTAAACAAAACCAAGCAAACCAAGAAACAAATAAAACCTCAAACCTAATATAATAATAATAGGCTGGGGGCAGTGGCTCATGACTATTATTAATCTCAGCACTCCGGTAGGCTAATACAGAAGATTTGCTTGAGCCCAGAGTTCGAGACCAGCCTAGGCAACACAGTGACATCCTATCTCTATAAAGATTACTTTAAAAATTAGCCAGGTTTAGAGGCATCCACCTGTAGTCCCAGGTACTTGGGAGGCTGAGGCAGCGGGATCACTTGAGCCTAGGAATTTGAGATTACAGCTAGCTATGATCGTGCCATTGTATTCTAGCCTGGGTAAAACAGCAAGGTCTGTCTCCAAAGTAAATAAATAAGTAAAATAATAATAATAATTTTTACTCTATCACAAAAAGTACAGCCAGTCAGATACAGTGCACACTAATTATTGTAAAAATTTTCTGAAATACACATACATCATTAACTTGATAACAGTAAATTTAACACTGATTGGTGGGTGTGAACAAAGGTATGATCAAGGAAAATAAATATATAGGCAATTTCACAGTCTTAATAATACAATTTCAAGAGCTAATATTAATTGAGCATTTACTGTATGCACAATGAGACTGTCTTTGGCGCTAATATCACAAAACTTCATTTTTTTCCCACTGGTAATTTTTGTCACTGATGAAAACTGTTTCAGCTATAGATCCCCACAGTGCGGAGATTGCGGGATGTGGGAGAAAAATGATGGTCTCGATCCCCCACCGAGCCATTGTCCCATGGTGGGTGAAAGCCAAACAATGCAGCTTGAGTTCTGCCTCCACTTTTACAGCTCTGTGGTGTTGGGCAAGTTAGCTAATATGTCCCTGCATTAGTGTTCTCAACTAATGGGGATAAAGCTCACATATACCTTATATGTTTTTGGAGACAATTAAGAGTTAGTATATGTAAAGAATTCAGCAAGTTAGTTGCTGACCCACTATGTACATATTAGCTATTATAACTTATTATTCGGACAAACAGCTAATGCACGTGGAGCTTAATACCTAGGTGATGGGTTGATAGGTGCAGCAAACCACCATGGCACACGTTTGCCTATGTAAGCAACCTGCACATTCTGGACATGTATCCTGGAACTTAAAGTAAAATAAAAATAAAATAAAAAAAAACTATTATTATTACTATTATTAGAATTGTTTGGATGAAGAGGTAGCTTGATAGTTTGAAAAAATGCATGGTCTTTGGAGTCAAGATAGGTCTTACTCCCTGCTTCAGTGAGCTGCGTTAAGACTTAACACATGGATATCAATTTTTTCCCAATGTAGAATAAGATGTCATAATAACTCCTACCCTTGGCTGTAGAAGGGTCAGTGAAGATGAATGTAATTATGATTGTTGTTAAATATAAAGTCATTTTTACAAATACAGTTTCATCAACAATATTTATGATAACACCTATTAATAACAAAATGTGCTAGGTGTTATGAGAAATCAAAAACATAGTTAAAATATGATCTTGTCTTCCTGCAATTTAATAATGTGCTGGCTCATTAGCTGTGAAACCCAAAGGCCTTATCTACTTTGTATTAATATTTTTTCAAGCGTGGAAGTAAGCCCAGAAGGGTATTGAGTGACATCTTCTCTTCTTCCCTTATCGTCTTTCCTATAGATGCAAAATCCTGAGTGTGAAAAGCCACGTAGTACTCTGTTAGATATCTTGCAGGTGTTACTTATCAATGGTTCTTGCTTAAAAGTAAAATGAGAAGTGTCGCATGAGACTCATCCTATAAACAGAGCATTCTGGGTGAGATGGCAAGAAAAACTCCAAACAGTCCTGAGATGATAACTGATCCAGTGGAGATGATATACCTATTCAGTTGATGCAAACATAATTACGGTTTATACCCTTGAATGTAAGGCAAAAACCGCAATTACGTTTGCACCAACCTAATATATACATATATCTTTTGGAGACAGGGTCTTGCTCTGTCGCCCAGGCTGGAGTGCAGTGGTGCGATCATAGCTTACTGCAGCCTCAACCTCCCAGGCTCAAGTGATCCTCCCATCTCAGCCTCCTGAGTCCGCTGGGACTATAGACACATGCCGCCACACCCAGCTGATTTTGTGATAAGTTTTCTTGCAGTAGAGTCAATGGCAGTGGTGTTCTGACCTTCTGCCACAGCAAACCATCTCTGCAGGGTGAGGATTAGTTCTTGCAAATAAGTGATTTCTAAATTATTGATTGGTTCTTTTCACACATTTTGCAGATTTCTTTTATTAAACAAGTTATATCTAATAGAAAAATACACTGAGTTGATGATCTCCAACAAAACTTTAATGCCACCCAGATGAATGCCAACCAGATTATGAGTTGCCCATTGGAGGCCTCAAGGAGTCTTCATTGATTTTGTATTCTCAAATTGCATGTGTGTGCTAAAATGGTTGCATAGAGATTCCACATGAAGCCATGCATGTGTGTAGGTGCTCCCACTAGACTAGTTCCTTGACTTATTAGGGAACAAGTTAAGAATTACTTCATGTCATGACCAGCTAGTTCTTGTAACTACTCATAAGAAAGCTCATAAGGAATGTCACATTGGTTCTGAAACAATATCATCACTTTTACTGATGGAGAGTGGTATGTTTTTCTTTTTTTTTTTTTCTTTTTTCTCTTTTTTTAAAAATAGGGAACAGTGTGCTGAGATGGAAAAAAAAAAATCAAGTAGGTTTCCAGGGAGGCATTTTTAAAGGCACCATCTCAGAAGGACGAGGCAATGGTAAGTATAGGAATAGTTACTGGCGAGTCCAGCATGGCAGTCAATGACTGTGTTCTGGACTGCAACGTTGGACTGGAGAACCACTGTGTGGCCAGGCTGTGGGCTCGGGCAGTTGTTCAAAACCCTGAACCTGGAGTTCAGACCAGAGGGCTGCCTGGGAGGCTCACTGTCATTCATTGTAACCCTAAAAACCTCATCTTTCCTTGAGCCTGACTGTTCCTATCTGATCAGAGCTTAGATGCAAGATTGGGAAGGAAGGTGATGGAGTTGGGGTCTGCCTGGAGGACAGCCCAGGTGAGTCATGGCTGGGTGGGCTGTAGGTCCATTCTCACCACCTGATTTTTCTAAGGGGAAACAGATCCACAAGGGAGGGGCAGTTCCAGATCATTGGCCACATGGGAAACCTGTGCTGCTGTTATGCAGGCCCCTTCATTCTGTTTGCATGCTCTCCTTGTAACCCCTGGGCCTACCAGGACGCCAGGGTGTCTGTTGGAAGAGGCATCCAAGAAGGATCTTTAGGCTGCAGGATGGAAGCACACGCCACAGCATGAACTTAGGTAGATAGTTTATTCATTACCTTTTAATATCTTCCTCTTTCTTTGCTGTCAAACATGGGTAATAAAATACCTAACCTGTCACATTATAAGAAGTAATTGAGGCCAGGCACAGTGGCTCACGCCTGTAATCCCAACACGTTAGGAGGCTGAGGAGGGAGAATCACTTGGGTTCAGGAGTTCGAGACCAGCCTGGGCCACACAGTGAGACTTCATCTCTACAAAAAATTTAAAAATTAGCCAGACATGGTGATGCACACCTGTAGTCCCAGCTACTTGGGAGGCTGAGGTGGGAGGATCACTTGAACTCAGGAGTTTGAGACTGTAGTGAGCTGTGATTGCTCCACTGTACTCCAGCCTGGCCAACAAAGCGAGACCCTGTCTCAAAACAAAACAAAACAAAACAAAAAATTGGATGAAAACAATGTCTATGAAACGCTCAGTGCCTGGTGATGTCTAAGGAATGCCCAAACTTTCTAGATAAGGGGTAGGGGATGCACGGGATGAGAGTCCCATTGTACGAGCATGAATGGGAACTCATCACTATTGCTGAAAGTGCCTGATCCAGAATTAAAATATTCCAACAGAAAATTCAGAGGAAACTTCAGAATGCTGAAAAATGCCATATCAGTCAGTCTTACTGGTTAATTGGCTTTTCTGAAGTACATACACACTTCTTTTTTTTTTTTTTTTTTTGAGATGGAGTCTCACTCTTTCATCCAGGCCGTACTGCAGTGGCATAATTTCAGCTCACTGCAACCTCTGCCTCCCAGGTTCAAGTGATTCTCCTGCCTCAGCCTCCCAAGTAGCTGAGATTACAGGTACCCATCACAACGCTCAGCTAGTTTTTGTATTTTTAGTAGGGACGAGGTTTTACCATGTTGGCCAGGCTGGTCTTGAACTCCTGACCTCAGGTGATCTGCCTTCTTTTGCCTCCCAAAGTGCTGAGATTACAGGTGTGAGCCACCATGCCCTGCCCACTCAGCTAATTTTTGTATTTTTGGTAGAGGCAAAGTTTCACCATGTTGACCAGGCTGGTCTCAAACTCCTGACATCAAGTGATCCACCTGGTTTGGCCTCCAAAAGTGCTGGGATTACAGGCGTGAGCCACTGTGCCCAGCACACACTTCACTTTGGATCAAGCCCTTTAGAGCATCTGAGCTTCTTTTCTAGTCCCTTACTGCACCCAGGCAATCCCAAGCCTGGTGCCTTCCTACCTCCAGCCTTTGATTTATGCTATTCTGTCTGCCTGTGTGCAACATTTCCTTTCCCTCCTTACTGAAATTCTACCCATCCTGTGTTGCATGAGTTGACGAATAATTTTGAAAAAATAATTATTGGTAATCATTAACCTCTTCTGACTTATTTCATTGATGCATTTTTTCAGCCTGGTTAAACCAAGTCTAGCAGTGCTTTCGGATTACTTTGGTGGTGAAAACTTTTTACTTTAAAAAAAAAATTTTTGAAACAAACAAAAGTAGAAAGCAGTGGTTTCTAGCTCATTTGGAGTGTCCAATGTGACATGCTTGGAAATTTGGGATTTTTAAATAATTGTCTGTTCCTCCTCATGGCCACAGTTTGGGGTACATCTCATAAAGTAGAAAAACACAAATGAAGGTCAGCTCTCTGACTCACTGTATGTAAACCTCTCAGAAATTCACCCTTGGCTGCACTGCTCACTAGAAGTCCATTTTCTTCTAGAGTAAACATTTGCAATGATCAAAAAGTCCATCTTGGGCCATCTGAATGGCCCCCGCATCTCATTTTACCCTTTTTGTTTGTAGCCCCTGCAGAGTGGGGGGGTTCAAAATATCAGACAGGTGCTACTAGTACAGGCAGAGGGGACACTCAGACCATGAGATCTTTCTCACTGTCTGGACATTAGAAATAGAGCAGAGCCCAAGGAAAAGATATGGGTAGAATACTTTTGTGATATACAGCTGTGAGGCCATGTTAGTGGAGATACTTCACAATTGAAAATCTGGACCCTTCCCCACAAATTCAAATTTTAGAAAGGTTCATCTGATGCTTTCATACATTTCAAGTAAATGGCTGTGTCTTTTCATGGTTCAGCTGCAAATCTGAAGTCTTTACAATTTGCTTAAATATTGGTTACTGACAAATTTTCTTATTAATTTGATGTTGTAGCTTCCAAACTTTTGTCAAAATTTAGACCACAAAGGCCATTTGAGTATCTCTTTAATGATTGCCAGATAATTTTCCTATCCATGGTTTTCTCTTTATAGAATAAAACTTCAGTATTTTTCCTTGATTCTAGAAGATTGTCAAGGTCATGTCCTTTATGGAACTCTTGTTTCCAAAAAAAGTTGATTTTTAAACATCTCTCCATATTTCCTGCCATAAACAAATACCAGCTTTTGTTTTTCAAAGATAATTTGTAATTTATAAAGAAAGATTAATACTGTCCCACCTCCCCCATTTGATCATTAACATACAAATTGGAAGAAAATCATATTTGGAAAAATGATTGATCAGCTGTTTGCTATTTTTATCTAGTATAGATTTATTTGTCTTATCAAAGGTAAAACGAATAAAGGTACACATCATTTTTCATCAGCATATACAGCTAAATAATCAATAATGATACATTATGGTTGACTCCTGAATCATTCAACTTTCTTCTTTTTTCCATTTTCTTTTTTTTCAACCTGGACAAGTCTTAATAAATAATCAAGGCCTGAAGTCTGAGAAATATTTGTCTTTTCTCTCACACCTACAGCCTTTGGAACAGGAACCCAGTGCAGTTTTGGTTGTAATCATTTCAGTAGCTGCAGTGCAAAGAACATTCAGTTTAATATAATCAGACTGTCCTAGTTCCAAGGAGAAGCAGTAGTAACAGGTCTGGCATCAGGCTCAGCGCTATAGACGACTCAAAGCTTATAATATGATAGACTCACTTTATGAAACCCAAAGGTAACATTATATAAAGTGCACAATCATGAGAAAGAAATGAGAACTTCTGAACCTAGGACTTTTTTTTATTGTTTTACCATATGCATTTAGGTTCAATCTACATTTGAAACCACTGGGCATTATCAGCATGTCTCTGCAAGAGTCAGCTACTGCTTTTGCTTAATTGGTGGCTGCATTTTCTCTTAAGGGGGAATGCTTTGGAGTGCGTTTTCCTGATAATTTGGAGGGGTCTTTGCTGAATGGTGATCCTAGGTTGGAATTTCCTACATTGTACACCAAGAATCAGTTGGCTGGATGAAAAACAAGTGACAAAGGGTTTTTCCTTTCCCAGTATTCTTAAAATTCTCAGTAAGAACTGAAGGTATCATGACTCTTCAGTGACGTCGGTTGTACTTGAGGAGGGGTGCAGGATTTCATGGAAACACCCATAAGCCTGATAGTGAGGACATCTATGCTGTAATCCAGGTCTGCTGCTAATTAGTTGTTTGCAATTACTAGGTTTTTGGTATGTTTAAAGACTGCAGAGACATGCATTCATTCCTTTTCACTATGAAGAATGTGTGAATGTAAATTAAGAACCACAGCTAGCTCAGAAGTACAAATAATTCGTGAAGCTTATTTAATACTTGAAAATTTCAATTTAGGCCAGTTCATTCAATTTTTCTGTATACAGTCGACTGAACACTTTCTGATTTTGTAATCCCTGTTAAGAAGAATTCTTTGCAATGGATTTTCATGATAGTCTGGATAGTCTTAGTGATCTTATGTTAGAATTTATTTTATTGCCAGTATGACCTAGTCCAATTCAAAACTGATGATCACGAAAAATTTCTTTCATGGCATTCCTGAAAACATAATTTTTAAGTCAAGGGATGAAGGGGTGAACTAGGAAATTGGAAAGTCAGTATTATATGGAACTGAATCTGTGAGTGTGTTGAAGATTCTGATGATCAGGGTAATTCTAGGGGCCTGTAAGTTCGAACATTGAGATTGTTGATACTAAGTTCTGAACATATATTACCCAAATGAATCTTACATTAAACATTTTGTGATTTCAAAGGACTTAGAGTAGTTATGCAAATCGGTGTGGTGCAGCAACTACAGTATAACCTTCAGATGTTAGGGAATCAACGACTGGGAAATAAAAGGACAGTATTTTAATGTTATTACAAAGACACCTATGATTCTTGAAGGTGATTTCAAAGGCAGACAATGGGGTAAATTGTGATTGAAATACACGCTCAATCTCTATGATATGCTCCTTCCACTTAGAAAGTGGGATGAAAGCTCATCAATTGAAGAGTAATTGCTAAAAAAGATTTCTCCTCTATCTAGCTTTGGTGTATGTAGGAGTTGATCAGGGTATTTTGTCTGCTCGGAAATCAAAAGAGACGAACTGAGTTGTGCAGACATGGGGAAAATAAAGTTTAATATTTAGCTTTTAAAATTAGTACTCGATGGGCATTTAAAAACGTGTACAATTATCAAAACTTCAATATCTAATCCTTTTGT